TTTTCTATTTTTTTAAGGCAGAGTCTCACTCTGTTGCCCAGGTTGGAGTGCGGTGGTACTATCTCAGCTCACTGTAACCTCTGTCTCCCAGGTTCCAGCCTTCTCATGCCTCAGCCCCCTGAGTAGCTAGGATTACAGGCGCGTGCCACCACGCTCAGCTAATTTTTTGTATTTTTATTAGAGATGGGGTTTTGACATGTTGGCCAGGCTGGTCCTGAACTTCTGGCCTCAAGTGATCTGCCCATCTCAGCCTCCCAAAGTGCTGGGACTACAGGCATGAGCCACCATGCCCAGGTGGCCTTATCCTTTCAAGGATGAATTAATAATTCACATATATATATATATATATATATATATATATATATATCTTTATACATTCATCTATGAGTGAGTAATTCCATATATATACACAGTATGCCACCTATACATGTGGCATACTGTGTATAAAGATATATATGGAAGAAAAGTAAGATGTAATTTATGCATTCTAGGAGCATATAACCTTATAGGAAAGATAAGACACATATATATGAGCCAATTAAATAATAGCACAAGTTAGTATATAATTAAGACAGTGAGTGTTAAAGATAATAGATGTAGGCTGGGTGCGGTGGCTCACACCTATAATCTCAGCACTTTGGGAGGCTGAGGCAGGCAGATCACCTGAGGCTGGGAGTTCCAGACCAGACTGACCAACACGGAGAAACTGTCTTTACTAAAAAAATAAAAAAATAAATAAATACAAGAAGACTAGCTGGGCATGGTGGCACATGCCTGCAATCCTAGCTACTTGGGAGGCTGAGGATGGAGAATCGCTTGAACCTGGGAGGTGGAGGTTGCTGTGAGCCAAGATCATGCCATTGCACTCCAGCCTGGGCAACGAGAAAAACTCCGTCTCAAAAAAATAAAATAAGAAAATATATTGGAGTGGCCGGGCGTGGTGGTGGCTCATGCCTGTAATCCCAGCACTTTGCGAGGCTGAGGCGGGTGGATCACGAGGGCACAACGTGGTGAAACCCCGTCTCTACTAAAAATACAAAAAATCAGCTGGGCATGGTGGCGCATGCCTGTAATCCCAGCTACTCAGGAGGCTGAGGCAGGAGAATTGCCTGAACCCAGGAGGCGGAGGTTGCGGTGAGCCGAGATTGCGCCATTGCACTCCAGCCTGGGCAACGAGAGCGAAACTCCGTCTCAAAAAAAAAAAAAAGAAAATATATTGGAGATAAGCAGGGTGAATGAATAGTAAAAGATGAGTTTATATTAAGTAGAGAATTTCTGAGGGCAGTTAAAATAGATTTAAGCTACTCTCATCTGAATAGAACTTGAGTTTAGATAAGTAAGTTTATAATCATCAATATAAGATAGTTGGCAATTAAAATTGTATGCTAGAATCCCTTGATTCACTATTAAAATAACAGCTCAAAAACAAGACCTTGGGAAATATTCACAGTAATAATAATACAGGAAGAAGAACAGTGGGCGTATGAGTCAGAGAAATTGCTTATCATTCTTTTTGTTATGATCTGTTTTCCATATAATTGTTTTTCCTCAGCTAAGCTTGCAGCTTCTGGAGAATAAGAACTAGGTGACACCATATTCCTCCACCGTATCTAGCACAGTGCTAGGCCTATATAGAGAGGGGGATGAACAAATCTATCAAATAAATAATGACTTTAGAAATACTGTGCATGTTTCCCAGAAATTCAGGAGCCAGCATGACAGTGGCACCCTACTAAAGGTGTTCTGTAATGTGGCACATGAATACTCATACTGTAGGATTCTTTGCTGTACCTAGAACTTTAAGGCAGATTTGAGAGGTTCCAAGACTGTGGTGAACCAGAAGCCTAAACAAGGATTTTCATAATTTCAAAAGCCATCTCATGGAGATTTCTTTCTACTTCAGTCAGTTTTTAGCTTTGTGTGTTAACACTATGTTTTGGTCATTTTCTCATCATCTCATGGTATCATGCTATAGGATCACACACACACCCACTTCTCAATACTCATTCTGGCCCAGACTCTTTGCTGGATAATTATTGATCTCTGTACTATGTAAAACACAATAGATTGAGGTGAATACACCTACACATGGATGTCATCTTCAAAGAATAAGTAATTGGTGGTTAGATGAGAGAGTGGGTGAAAAAGAAAGTGGATGAGTAGGTAGGTGGAGGTTTGGGAATGAATGAATAGGTTGGTTAAGTGGGTGACATGACAAGAAAAAGCTAGGGAATATAAAAAGGAGGTATTAGTGAAACTACAGTTAATTCAGTTATTTAGATTAACAATAGCAGATAGTATGGAAACTCAAAAAGAGTAAATCATCTTCAAGGTTTTTTTTATGTTGATTTTGAAAGGTACCAAATTATCTTTTTGACAACAGCCACAAATTAACCATCCTAATTGTTTTGCCTAAGTTTATATGAAAATGAATTTACATTTTCACACTGTGTATTAATTAGAGTCAGTGGTCACAGTGGTTTAAATGACTGTCAAAAAATAAACTTGGTAATTCTTATATATACAATTGAGATTAAACAGTATATTTAAATTTATTTTTCTGTGTAGTTGACTTTTAGTTATCCGTGGTCAGGTTGATTTTTTTGTGGATAGTCATATGTGTCACTAAGTAATTTAGATGTAATTATTCAATATAGTAAACTTTTCTATGAAAAATATATTATTGGCCGGGTGCGGTGGCTCAAGCCTGTAATCCCAGCACTTTGGGAGGCCGAGGCGGATGGATCACGAGGTCAAGAGATCGAGACCATCCTGGTCAACATGGTGAAACCCCGTCTCTACTAAAAATACAAAAAATTAGCTGGGCATGGTGGCACGTGCCTGTAATCCCAGCTACTCAGGAGGCTGAGGCAGGAGAATTGCCTGAACCCAGGAGGTGGAGGTTGCGGTGAGCCGAGATTGCGCCATTGCACTCCAGCTTGGGTAACAAGAACGAGACTCCGTCTCAAAAAAAAAAAAAGAAAAATACATTATTTCAGTTTTTGTAACTCAAAGCTTTATATTTCATTTTAGAAAATACTCAGTTTATATTTTTATATAGTGATTTTTAAAAGATAACTTTATATTATTACTAGAAAACTGCATCATATTTTGCTTTTTTCATTTGCCATATTTATTTGAGACAGATACTTAGGAAGCTATTAAGAGGTGAAAGATCTCCAAATCAGCTGCTATGTCATATTTGGAAACTTAGAAAAAATCTTCTATTCCATTTTAAGGCAATAATCATTATGCAAAATAATAATTATTAGACTAAAATAACCAGTCCATTCTGAAATGTTTTTATCTGCAAACATGTCATCATTTACCAAAACATGCAGAACAAATTTAAAACTGTTTTAGGTCCTAAATATGAAGTATCTTTTAATAAATAAGAATTAAGTACCTTTTTACCCACTGACATGAGAAATGTTTAAAATATTTAAATATTTATCTTTTCATATTTAACTTTTTTTGCTTTACTGAAACAAAAGACATGTTTTTAAAAAGAAAAAAATTTCAAAATACTTCTCAAGTTTTAAACTCTGATCTAATGAAAGTGTTACTTGACAACACTAAAAGATCACCTCCGTGGTGTATGATTCTATCTTTAAATTTTATAAATAATTCACACTGACTTATGAAATTTGTTATAATTATTTTTGTGAAGGAATGGTAGATTAATGCTTCCTGACAACCAACAGATCTGCAACTGCTTATGATTAGTTTTTTTGATGACTGTTTAAAAAAAAAACCTAGCCTGCTATATTTTATTTTTAGAAACATTAATGTTAATTAAAGTTATAAATTATATTAAGTTTTCCTTGAGGTTTATTATCATAAATCAAATACTTTTACAAAATCAAATAGTATAATTTGCAAAATTATACTAAGTTTTCTTTGAGGATTTATTGTCCTAAATCAAATACTTTTACTTATACACAAAAGTGTATAGGTATAAGTATAAACAAAAAGTAATTTAGACAAATATTTCTTGAGGCACTAGGGATTAAAAGATAAAATATGGTTTTTACCTTGAAAGAGCACACTATAAAGCCAGAATCATTGATAAATAGCATGCTGGCTCCATAAGCAAAGGACTAATAAAAAAGTCATAATTGATTTTCCTGACCTTGACTGGCCTAGAGCTAATCTCATTCCTCATGGCAAAGCTCAGTGAGTCAGGACTGCAACAAAAGAAAATTTAATAGCCCTACTGCTGCCTTTCAAGATAAGTGCAGAGAAGGAGACAACCTGCAGTTAGCAGAGGAGCCCAGCTCACATACTGCAAGCTGGGTCCAGGGCTGGAGGTACAAAGAATTTGCTTTAGTGGGAATATAGGTTACAGAGTGTTAGGATGTAACTTCCAAGCAGATGTAGCTTCTATAAAGGAGCATCTTCACAGCCTCAAGCCCTGATAAGAAGTAATTAAGATAATTTACAGGTAGTTAATTCAGTTTTTAACTGAAAAGCAGCTTTCAGCACATACTGTCATTGTTGCTTGCCAGTTTATTCATTTATTTTTTTTTTAGGTTACACAGTTTCTCCCCTGATTTTATATGCTCCCTCTTCCAATCATAGTCTTTTAATAAAATTTGAGTGTACCCCTCTACTGAGTATAGCCACTCTTGGCTGCCAGGGGCAATGCAACATTTCTTCTATTTGTTTTTACCCCTCTCCCTGAACCCACCCTGTTCAAAACTCATTTGAAGGCATCCATATCTAGCGAAGCTTCAAATCAGCCTTGTTTAACCTCAGCTTCTGTCCTTTTGCAGGGAATGGAACCTAAATTCTGAGTGGATTATCTCTTTTCTTTTGTTGGCTATGTCAGTAATTCCACAGTGTTAATGAAGTTAAGCAATCAAAAGTTGTTTATTACTTTCTCATGGTTGGTTTCCTAATAATTTCCTGTACTGAGGCATCTTTATGAAAATTATTAGTGTTATTACATTTTCTAGTGTGTTCTGTTACCCACTTCAAAATAAACTCTCTCATAACAGGTACACACCCTGCAGTTATAGAGGAATGGAGGAGAGACTACCTCATGGCAGCATGTCACGACTGACGGATCACTCCAGGCATAGCAGTTCTCATCGGCTCAATGAACAGTCACGACATAGCAGCATCAGAGATCTCAGTAATAATCCCATGACTCACATCACACATGGCACCAGCATGAATCGGGTTATTGAAGAAGATGGAACCAGTGCTTAATTTGTCTTGTCTAAGGTGGAAAACTTGTGCTGTTTAAAAAGCAGATTTTATTCTTTGCCTTTGCATGACTGATTGCGGTAACTTGCTGTTCACATGCTTTCAGTCAAGTGCAGATTGTGTCCACTGGAAAGGTAGATGTTTGCTTTTTATATTGCATCAAACTTGGAACATCAAGACATCCAAAACACTAAGAATTAAATCATCACGATAATAGTTAGTCTTTCTAGGTTAAGAAGAGATAATTATTTGTCTGGTAAGCATTTTTATAAACCCACTCATTTTATATTTAGAAAAATCCTAAATGTGTGGTGACTGCTTTGTAGTGAACTTTCATATACTATGAACTAGTGGTGAGATAACATTCTGGTAGCTCAGTTAATAAAACAGTTTCAGAATTAAAGAAATTTTCTATGCAAGGTTTACTTCTCAGATGAATAGTAGGACTTTGTAGTTTTATTTCCACTAAGTGAACAAAGAACTGTTTTTAAACTGTAAGGAGAATTTAATAAATCAGCGAGGGTATTTTAGCTAATAGAATAAAAGTGCAACAGAAGAATCTGATTAGTTTGTGAAAGATTCTCCCAAAATCCTATTGAAATAATCTTCATCCAGAGATATTCAGGATTTGGATTAGTAGTAGAATAAAGAGATGGGCATTCTTTCCCCTATAATTGTGCTGTTTTTATAACTTTTGTAAATATTACTTTTACTGGCTGTGTTTTTATAACTTATCCATGTGCATGATGGAAAAATTTTAATTTGTAGCCATCTTTTCCCATGTAATAGTATTGATTCATAGAAAACTTAATGTTCAAAATCTGCTTTGTGGAGGCATGTAATAAGATAAACATCACACATTATAAGGCTCTTTGTGGTAACCACAATTATAAAATGGCAAAGTATTTTCTCTGTATTCATTGTTGTATTTTTCTACAGTGAGATGTGATCTTGCCAAAGCCACCAGACCTTGGCATCCAGGCCCTCCTATAGTGAGTTGATTGTCTGCTCTTGCCTTGCCCTATAGCTAGTAGGCTACAGCTTTTTCCCCACACTCTTATTTTCAGATTCTGGATCATTCTTGTTTACAACTGAAATATATATAACCTCAGTTCAAAGTGGTGATTGATTTGAGTATTTGAAAATCATTGTAGCTAAATGAAGCATGATTAGTAGTCTTACTATGAATATCATTTAATCTTAAAAAATCAAGTAAAAAATGTTTATCTGGTAATGTTTAAATAATTTACAATATAAACTGTAAACTTTATTAGGCGTGAAATCAATCCGAAGAGAAAGAAAAATGCTGGAACATGCTGGATGTGTTATGTAAAAAGCATACGGTATTTAAACAAGGGCCCTCAACCCTGACTGCAGATAAGAATCACTTGGGTTACTTCAGATACCTAACAACTTCCTCTCATACAAATAAGAACTGGTTACTTTCTTAAAAAGGAAAAAAATCTTTCCATGTGATTCTAATCTGCAGTCTGGCTTGAAACTTACTACTTTAAACTAACTTGCCCCTGATGATCTAATGGCATCATATTATATCATATGAACATCCATCCACATGGATTCAGTCTTTCGATTTTATATCATTATCTAATCTTTAATGATTCTTCACTTATTATTCATTATAAAATGCAGAATTCTGGGCTCCACTCCTAGAGAGACTTATTCTGTAAGGCCAAAGTGATAGGACTTTAAAATCTTTAGTTATAAAAACACCACAGGCGATTCTTATGCAGGTAATTCAAGAATCATACTTTGAAGAATTATTCTAGACTCTGAAGAGGCCTGGCTCTGCCTTACGCTATAATTGTTTCTGACCTTTAACAATTCAAGTCTTTGAGCCTCAGTTCCCTTGTTTGTAAATGAAGATAAAAAATACTTACTCTACCTACCTCACAATGTTGTCAAATAAGATCAAGTGAAAAAAATTATGTGAAAGCTCTTTGAAAACTGTAAAGCATGAATGATAAGGGATTAGGTTATTGTGGATTTAAGGGGTTTGAGGACCACTGTAGTACACTCCTTGACATGTTGAATTTATGTGTGCTTTTCTTTCTCACTCTTTAAAACAGAAACTACCAAGAAATTAGGTGTTGAAAAAGAATCTTTTCAGGCAGCAAAGTCAGTTTTCTGATAGTAATAATTTGTCTTATTATGTTATATATTTCAAAGTACATATACGATATGAATTATTCTTCATGAGACATATTTGAATATTTGGCCCGAAATGTTTTTTGGTTTTCTCTGTGTTCATTGCCTTTCTCCTTGGAACTGGAGTTAACACCCAAGGCAGGCAGGTCTGAATTCCCTCATAACTGACAATTAGTAAACATTTTCTCTGAAAGCCAAACATAAAGCAACTCATTTATCAATAATTCATGACGCTTTTGTCTGAGAATCTGTCCTGCAAACAGCATGAGAGAACCAAAACAAACATTCACAAACAAAAATAAGTTAAAATAGAAGGTACCAGTTTAAGCCTGAAGATGTCATCCATTGCCATCTGCATTATATTATCAACTGCCAAGATGTTAATTGGTTTTCTTCTACAAGTGGGCCAAGTATAGACAGTTAAGTGAACATCACCATGAAAATCTTAACTTTGTGCTTCCAGATTTTTAGATATTCATTTGTACTTTCCCTTTTAAATTAATTGTTGGTATGTATGGGAATACTATATTAACTTTTCAGTTACTTTCAATAAGTATCTTAATTTTGCCCCACAAAATTTACATAATACTGTGGGGCAAAGTTACATAATATAATCTTGTGAATCCATGGTTTTAAACAACAGTATTTAGTTTGGGCAGCAGTTTCAAGTCTCAACTCGCTTAAACCAATCTGAACAAATCTGGACAGTTTTCCTACCATATGTTTAACTTTGATTGGCATATGATAATGTTTAGTGTTTTCTTTTTTCAGTTGACAACTGAGAAAATAATAGTTCTCTCTAAAATGTTAATATATTATCAAAAGGTTTTCAAAAAGTACTCTGCTTTCAGCAACAGTGTTTTACTCAATAATTAGACAAAAGACCTAAGATAATATTAAACTCAGAACAGTTTGTTTCAAAGAACAATTGGTTAATAACTCAGCTGGCACAGGGCTTCATATACAGCTTTTCAATAAATATTTAAATTAACAATTCATGTTACACAACTTGCTTTTACCCTAGTAGTGAGTCTCACATCAAAGAAATTTGTAAGATCTAAATTTAATCTATGTGAAATGAAGTCTCTGCTTTATCAGAATAATATGTGGCAGGTGATAAATATGTAAATGACACCAAATAAAACATTTTGCATAGATGATAGTCCATATCACTATTTTAATTAAAGAACTTTATGTACAAACATGTACCAATCCTTTTGGTTTTAGAAGATGAATAGTGATTCTTACAAGTAAGTAATTAGGCTCCTGTTAGTCTTATGCTGTTAGATCTTTGTGGACCAGTTGGGTAAATAACTCTTCAAACCAACGTTCCTTTTTCTGCTGCTGTTAGAGCAGATTTATAAAAATTCTGAGAATGTCTTCAAATTAGAAAAATTTACTGCATTTTAACCTACCTCATCAGTTTCTTTGTGATAACAGCTGGAAATAACTCAAATTGTACCCATCTTAGTTTAGGCTATATTTCTGTGAAATAAAAGGAACAACTTAATTTTTTTGTTATATAAATTAGTGAGTCGTTTGCCAGAGCTTAGAAAACATTAACCTACCAAAATTTCATTATGATGATATTTATATTGCTTTTTGACATGCCAAAGGTACATTTACATATTACTATATTTGGATGACTTACATAGTCTAGTATAATGAAAATTCCCCTGAGCTTGGAATTTTAAGACTCATAATTTTAGCTAGGATGGGCCTGAAAAAAAAAAAAAAGACTCATAATCATGATGTCAACTGGACTGGTCATTTAATTTCTCTGAATCTTTGTTTCTTCAATGTAAAATGAGGATAAGGTAATTTTTGGTTTTAGCCTCCCTCACTGGATACTATAAGGATCAAGTGAAATAACATTTATTATAATGCTCTGTAACCCATAAATTATTCTACTTGAAAACATTTTTTTAGAGACAGGATCTTGCTCTGTCACTCGAGCTGGAGAGCAGTGGCACAATCATACCTTGAACTCCTGGGCTCAAGCAGTCCTGCAGCTTCAGCCTCCCAAGTAGCTAGGACTATAGGCATGTACCATTACACCTGGCTAATTGTAATTTTTTTTCTTTTTTTGAGATGGAGTCTGGCTTTGTTGCCCAAGCTGGAGTGCAGTGGCACGATCTCAGCTTACTGCAGCTTCCACCTCCCAGCTTCAAGTGATTCTCTTGCCTCAGCCTCCCAAGTAACTGGGACTACAGGTGCGTGCCACCACGCCTGGCTAATTTTTGTATTTTTAGTAGAGACAGAGTTTTGCCATGTTGGTCTCGAACTCCTGACCTCAAGTGATCCGCCTGCCTTGGCCTCCCAAAGTACTAGAATTACAGGCATGAGCCACTGCACCCAGCTTAATTTTAATTTTTTAAATTTTTTGTAGAGATGGGTCTCACTTTGTTCACCAGGCTGGTCTGGAACTCCTGGCTTCCTAAAGCATTGGGATTACAAACATGCCATCATACCTGATCCATAAATTGTTCTACTGATATCATTTGATTTTGTTAGAATTTGGGAGGCTGTAGAAACCAAGGATATAGTCTTTACTAGTATGTCTTTTTAGCAATAACAACAAGATAGGCAATTAGACCAGTATTCATTTGGTATAGTCTTTAAATCAGTGATCCAATTAACTTTTAAAAGGTAGTTTATGCTCTTAAATTGTGTTGGCTCTTTAATATGTGTTATACCAGAGTATGCTCTCAAATTTTATGTAGTTGAATTTGTAGACCAAATTTGGGGATATTCATTATTTTTTTCCTTTTATATCAAACTGTTTAAGTACATTAGCTTGACTTAAATTATAAGAAAAATATAAAGAAGAATGTAGATCCTATAATGTTTGTCTTTGACTTTTTGGCTTTTATGTACCTAATTCTTTCTGATTGAGAACAAGTTTTGAAACAGTGATTCACTTGTTGGTTTTCATCATTGCAAAACTTTAAATTTTAAGACATCGTACTATGAGAATTGTTTGTACACATTTATAATTTTTTAAACTGTAAAGATTTTTTTCTCCATTCTTCACTCACAAAGGAATAGCATTTTTATGGAACCTAGATTTACAAAGGAACTCGTGATTCTTTTAAGTGTTTTTATGTCTTTTTACAAGTGATTAAGAAAAATTGTTTACATTTAATTCAGCTGTATTTCCTGTTAGCTGTATAATCTTATACATTATTCTTTTATAATTTTGACCTATTTTACAGGAAAACAATTGTGTTGGCATCTCTTCATAATCTAATTCTCTTCTCCTCTTCTTTTGTCCCAGTTAGATGAGTTTGGGGAAGGAATAGGAAGACTAGGCATCCCATGCCTTCCATCTGACTGTAATCAGTCTCCTGGGTTTCTTTCTAATTTAATTTTAATCCTGTGCTTCTTTAGTTATCAAATTGATAGAGGATTATAATTTTCTCTCAGGATCCAAGTCTTCTAAGAATGAAAATGTTTAAAGTCTACCCTGAACCAGCCATCCTTGTAGACATTTCTATTCAGTTGATTTATAAAGATTTAATATGAATTAAATGTATTTCTTATTCTGTGATCTCTGATTAGAAAGTAAAATTTTGTTGCCATAAATATAAAAGTTTTCACTTATGTTTTAGTCAAACAGCAAACCAGTACATTACGTACTTCCTATAAGACACAGTAGTTGCAATCTGTTGAAATGCATTGAAGGATAATTTCCTTCAGATTATTTTTTTAATCATCATCTGCCTCAGGAAATCTGCTATGTTCTTTTTTGAATATTTTTGTTGGTGTGAAAGCATTGCTTATACTTTATGTTCATTTTATTTATTGGTCACTGTCACCAGTTTTTCCCGACAGATTAAACAAGTTTTTTACCTTGAAATAATTCAGATTTTTAAGATTTACTGCTTTATTATTTTGCTAATTACCTTTTTTTTTAACTTAGAGCTTAATAATTTCTATTTTCTATCCCAGAGTCTAAAATTAAACAAAAAAAAAATTCTATTTTCTAAATTGGCCAGATTTTTTTAATGATTAGTAAAAATGTATTATGTTATTTTTTTAAATACCATAGGATTTTGAGTCAGGAAACCTGATTTCTGGCCTTGCCTCTCTTTGCCCTTAGCTGTGTAACTTTGGACTAGACATTTTACCTCATGGTGCCTCCATTTTCTTATTGTCTAGGGAAAAAGAATTTGTTTAGGTAGAATCTTAAATTCCACCCAGTTCTTATTTTGTTCTCCTTTGACCATTTTATAATCATTATTTTGGTCTCATTCCTGTTCTTGTTATTCATCCTATGAACTAGATCAGCTTGTATTATTAGTGCCATTTACATGTAAATTGATGGGATTCAGATGTTATTAACTGGTTTTCCATTAGTAATTTTAAGTAATTTTAAAGAAGGAAACTTATATTACAGATAATAAAAATGAAAGAAAGATATAAATACTGGACATGGATTATTTTTTAAATGGGAAAGTCTTCTTAAGCACCAATATAAGCACCTTAAATTGGTATCTAGAAAACAATGACATAAAATTTTGTCATCTTTGTTCTTTTAAATATGAATATAGCTAGTTCGCTTAAACTTTAAACAAAATGTATCCAAGATGAAATTAGTGAACAAAGCAATGATAACACTGGTTCATATGGCTAATTTAAAAGCTATCAGATTTAGCAATATTAAAATAATTTTAAAATGCAAAAGATATTTCAGAGGAATTGATTGAAAATTTTTTGTTCAGTAATTATTCTTAAGCTGAATTATAAGATTTATTACATAAATATAGTTACCAGATTGCTATGGGCAGGTGAATGTCTTCATTTGAAATATTATTAGAGATCAGTGTGGCTTGTTATTTTAAATTCTTTTTCTGGCTATACAGAAAATGTTTCCAGAAAGGTTAATTGTCTGTCATCTGATAAAATGTAGAGATAGAGGCCGGGCGCAGTGGTTCACTCCTGTAATCCTAGCATTTTGGGAGGCTGAGGTGGGCGGATCACCTGAGGTCAGGAGTTCAGGACCAGCCCGGTCAACATGGCAAAACCCTATCTCTACCAAAAATACAGAAATTAGCTGGGCATAGTGGCATGTGCCTGTAATCTCAGGTACTCGGGAGGCTGAGGCAGGAGAATCATTTGAACCCGGGCGTGGGGGTTGCAGTGAACCAAGATCGCGTCATTGCACTTCAGCTGCCTGGGCAACAAAAGTGAAACTATGTCTTTTAAAAAAAAAAAAAAAAGGTAGAGATTGCATTCGTTCCATCTCTCAGCAGTGTTCTCTGGTAGTGTTCTCTGTGGACTAGGCCAAGGATGTTCGTGTTACTTTTAAAGATCATTGTCTTTGCTCTGATTGTCTACGTTAGCTCATATCAATCTTTTGAACACTGGTCTATAGATTTACAATCCAAGTGTTGGGTTAGGATCTGACAAGTAGAGAATAGTGGAAAGTTGATATAGGAAGGTGTACTGGTTTCTGGTGTGATTTCATTAACTGCACTTGATTCCTTGTCTTATGTCATTTCATGGATCATGTAATTCTCCTAGCTTTCAGAAATTAAATTAGATGCCCAGCCTTTCTCATTCAGAGATGCCTATATTATTATGTTATTTTGATTGCCTACAAAAAAAAAAAAAAGATCTGTTTTCAGTTCTCTGGCTCTGGAAGTCTTTGTGATCACATTTGTTAAATTGAATCTGAGGTTCAAATATTACATTTAGTATTTTCTGGATTTTGATAATCGGATATTCTGTAAGATAAAGCAATAATCCTGGAGTGATTTACTTTATGTTTAGACATCCACCATTTTTCTATTTCTCTACTCCTCCCATTCTCCATTTTTAAAAGGAAATTTACAAATATCTTCCTTTTTTCCTGAACTCATCTTGTCAGCAGAAACATTTAATAGGAAATAATTCTATATTTCTAAGATAAGATCAACACAGTAGTTCTTTACATTGAGCTGAGGTGAATGTATACTTAAAAATACTCTATTTTCTTTCTATATTAACTTAATATTTTAAAATCATATATAGGACTCCCCAATGTGAAAATATTAGTCTGGATGTCGTTTTCTTGCCATCAGGTGCTATTTCTATCTTAGCTGTGAGTTAGACTAAATCCGAATTTTGTATCATTCATCTTTTAGAATATTTAACTTCCCTAGAATCATCCCATTTCACATCTTTAAACCCAGCTTCCCACAACTTTTCTGCTTTTATTTTCAAATGCCAATTTTATTTTTGTGTACTATTTTCTCATTGAAGTGTGGTATCACATATATGAAGAAATGACTAGTTTAGACATTTACTTTGGCATAATTAAGATTGTTATTGATACCACACACCATCCCTTTCCTCTAGCCCCAAAAAGAAAAGTTTGACAACTCAAAAACTATTAAATTATTTTATCTGTATTTAATAGAACAGTGGAAGCTGTTTCTTCAAAATTAAAATGTTTTACAAAAAAAAAAAAAACAAAACTTTTCTGTATTTTAATCTGACAGTGAATTTGGGATTATTTATGTAATATATCTATAATTAATAGTAATTAGTTATTTCACTCGTAATTTGTGATACCCAAGACTCATATTTATTTAATGTGAACTGTTTTTTGAGCCTTTTTTGTTTCATTTTGTTTTCTTAACTTTTTTCGGTGTTGTTAGATTATCATGGTCACATCTCAGCAGAAAAACTCTACTATAGATCCGCTGTTCTAAGAGTCAGGCCAAGGAGGTTTTTGCTACACAGTCAGTTCG